GTTGCATTTTCCCCCACCCAAGCCCCCTCACCTGCCCTCCTCCAGCCTGAGATGTGCGTTGGGGTTTGCCAGACACCTCCAGGCGATGCCATGGGCAGAGGGGACAGGCCACGTGCCACAGGGACACCCCCAGCACGATGTGCCAGCTGGAAATGCCCATCCACAGGCAGGGTTTACGTCCACAGGCAGGTTTTGCAGGGGACCCTCTGCTCGGCTGGGCTGTGTCTGCTCCAGCCCCGGGACCATCGCTCCCCATCACTCCCCACAGCCGTAAGGGAACATGTCGGCTGTTACTAACCTCTGGGGACAGAAAACGGTCCCTGGGCCAGCTCTGCCCCCGAGGACAACTGTAAGCACCCTCTGGAGTCCTGCCACACCTGAGAGGAGGGCTGTGTAACATAAAGCTTAAAAGAAGGTATTCTAATATTAATCAGCCCCGGGACCATCGCTCCCCATCACTCCCCACAGCCGTAAGGGAACATGTCGGCTGTTACTAACCTCTGGGGACAGAAAACGGTCCCTGGGCCAGCTCTGCCCCCGAGGACAACTGTAAGCACCCTCTGGAGTCCTGCCACACCTGAGAGGAGGGCTGTGTAACATAAAGCTTAAAAGAAGGTATTCTAATATTAATTATAAGTCTAAGATGTATAAAGTTCTCACAAACTGTGTTTTACTTCCAGAAAAAACTGTCACTTTAACTTTGTAAATATTTATGTAAACATTATTTACAAAACTTTGATATTATATATTATTTGATTGTATATGTACACAGTGTAAATACGTTTGTACCTCTCTCTTGTATTCTAAATAAAAACGACTTGGAACATTTATCATTTAGAAGATGGACGGTACGGAGAGCTTTATTTTGCTGTGCTGGGGGAAGGATGCAGCGGTTGGGATGAGTGAGTGTTTAGAAGAGCACAAGGTGGATAAGGAGATGTAGCATCGTCTGCTGGACCAGACAGTGCATTTGGGAAAGGGAAAGATCAGCTTTGGGCTGCAGAGGCCCTTTAGCGGGTCTGAAGGAGAAGGGTTGAGTGCTGGCTAACCGGGGAGCGGGTGTTATGTCGGCTGGTACCTCCCTGTCTCCACGTGTACAGTCTCTGTTTGCAGCAATCGCTGTTGATATCCTTTGATACCTTCCGTGAATTACTGCTTGTACTTCAGCTGTGCTGGGGTACAGGTGCAAGCCTTGCTTGAAAGAACAATGTTTGATTTTGAAGGTTATCGCTGCCTTCTTTGCTATTTTCTCAGCAGCTCTGAGAGTCTAACTGCTGTTTGCACGAATACGCTCGTGTGGAAGTTCTGTTCATTTATTTACTGTCAAACAGCTTTGCCAAGGGAAGGGGCAACTTCCTCATCCCTTGGGGCTGCTAGAGCCGAGTCTGAGCACCGTCCTGGCCTCCACCATCCTGCGGTCCAGCCGCGGGCTCCCTGCAGC